AGTTTCTGTTTGGGCAGATTCCTTAATGGAATCTGAGAAACTGAGAAGACAAGACAGAAGTGTAACTACGACATAATGAATTCTTCTGATGACTTGTTACTAGCTGTGTCTTTCAAGTGAATATCTTGGTCAGTTGCTTCACTTATAAAATGATTTTTTGTTTTGAGAGCTTATCCCATCCTATGCAATCTGGTTTTGAACAGTACTCTCTGATCCCTAAGAGTTTTTCAGCTGGATGATGTAAGGTGATGTTGCTCTTATGGACTGTAGCTTACACTTTCTACTCCTACTGTCTTATGTGCACAGGCATTGGAGAAATGAGCAACATGGGAAGGCCTTTGCATCTGTTCTGTTTGTCTGTATTTAATGCTCAGAGTTGCAAAGTCTGTGTTCAGAGTTCAGTGTGTAGGTCCTAGCTTCCCTATCATACAGATGTTTTTCCAAGTCCTTCATCTCTCCATCCCATGAGGATTTATTGTTGGTTTGTTTTTTTTTTTCCCCATTGCTGCTGTGTAGTTGGGAGTAGAAAATGCCTGCTGTACCTGTAAATCTTCCTGAATTAAAATCAGTTGATTGGCACAGGTATAATACACTCTGGTGTCAAAGCACTGCCTTGACAGCAGAGTGTAGGTGCTTTCTCTTTTTGCTTTTCTCCTGTTACAATATTTCTGAAAGCTGACAGAGACTCTGCCAAAAGGTTTCAAGGCAAAGAGGTATAATTTGTTTGGAATGGAATGAATAATTATGCAGATGAAAATTATACAGCCACACTAAGAGATTTGCTCAGAAGAGACAGCAGCTTATTTCTGTGGGCTCTGCGGTGTGTGCATGGCAGTGGGCTTCATTTTGAAGAGGCTTGCTCTTTGGCTGACCAAAAGAGATATTTAGGACATTAATATGTTAGCTTGAAAGAGTACATTTCTGGCTGCCAGCAGACCTCCTGGTCAGTGATTAATCTGTAGAAAGTGGTTTACTGGTGCTCAGGGGGAAGCATGGTATGAGATAGCTTTCTTTCAATGCTGGGGGAAAAGGCTGGTAAGTGCTATGCAGCCAATGCCTCTGTAAGTAGAAAATTACAAACAAAACCAAACCAGAAGAGCAATCACTGATGTTTACAACTGAGTAACTTTTATTTTCTGGTTCATTTTGAAAGAGTCTTTGGAGGTGTGTCTTAGGAGCCTGCCTCTAGTTTACCTTACTCATACAATTGCACTGAAGTCAATTGGCCTTCTTGGGTGTGTGGAGAGAGCAAAGGCTTTTATTGATAGATGGCAGCAGTGTCTGCAAATGATCATTTCTGTATCCTAGGTCAGTCCACCTGGTCTCAGCATTCCAGATCTCGACGTCGGAGGACGTCGTGTTCCAGACATGAAGATCGGAAACCTTCTGAGGTATTTCTGGAATGTGATTTGCATTTTGTTACATCTGTCAAGTACAGAGCCATATACATGTTCTGGTAATGGATCCATTGCTTCAGTTCTACATTTTCTTTTCTTTCTGCTACGTTTTAGCTGGCACTTTCCCCACATCCCCAACTTATTTTTTTGGCCAGGAGATAAGGGAGTTCAGCTGTTGGCACAGCCACTGCCAGCAGCAGTCTCTATCTGTGAATTTTGTTATAGTCTGACGCCCGTTCAGCATGGCTGTGTAGTCTTTTTTTTCTACTCTTTAGGCTTCGGGGTTTATTTGTAGCTTGATATGTGAACAGTGAAAGTCAACATTAGGTGCATTTATTGCATAGTTGGTATTGGGTCTTGGTATGTGATCTTTGTTAAACTGCTTGTCAAACTAGAAGTCTGCTTCTTGTCAGTTCTGATTTGTGTAGTGTTTTGAGGAAATCCTGTTAAGGGAGATGCAAATCTTCGAACTTTCCAGGATGGATCAGCTGTTAGTAACGCGTAAATGCGATCCAGTTCTTTGGAAGTATTCTTGGTGAATCTCCCTATCTTCAGGCAAATACTGCATGGCAGACTTTGTGGAGGCTGAAAGTATTAATGTTGGGAGATGGAATTTCTTCATTTAATGTACTTGCTCAATACATGTATTTCTGGTCCATTAGTAAGTGATTGATGTTGAGTGAAATCTTGGTTTATTAATCTCCTCAATGACAGTATGCCCAGGTCCTGGAGAAGAGTTTTCACCTGAAGAATCTCTCTCATTGCTCAGTGTGAGCGACACCAAGTACTGGTGGTTTCCAGTCTTCTTTTTTGGTTGTTGGCTGTTATTTAAATTTTTCCTTTTTTCTTGGTGAATGTGGAGACCCCCTGGTGATGGGCTTGCTTTCCTTAGTTATCTCTTGTACTTCTTTTGGAAGTAGCCCCTTACATGCAGGTTTGAGAACTACCTCTGGAAAGGCCATCTGGAAGTAATTTGAGATAATTACAAATCTTGCTGTTGTTTTTTTGTGAGCTTCTGCTTTCTCACTGTTGCTGCATTTGTTGTCAGAATCTGCAGTTTTGTGCTGTTCTTTCTTGTCTTCTGAGCCTGGATGGACTTCTTATACACATCCCTTTAGCTCTGTTTCCCTGCCCCTGCTGCCTCCCTCCATTTGCATTGTCTCTGCTCACCACAGCACACTATTCTGATGAGAAGTGTGCTGGCAGGAAAGTGACACTTGCTAAACTCCCTGAGTGAAATCCTGCTCTCGCTGAGGTTGGTGGCAAAATTCCATTGACTTCAGCATGGCCAGAGTTTCACCCTTCAGCTTTGAAGTGTTCAGTGCTTCTGAGAGCCAGCACTCCTGTAAGCTCTGCTTTGCTCCGGGCAGTCTGATTTCATCAGAAATTAGAGCAGAAAGAATGGTGTCACGGGGCCACTGGCCTGGGAGGAAGTTTCTTGGCTGCCAGGTGCTGCATTAGCTTGGCTTCTGAGGGAGTTTAGTGACAAATTTATCCTAGAGCCCGAGTTTCATTTGGCTCTCGGATGCAGCAAGGCTTGTGACCTGTTTTACATTTTTAGGCTTCTTTTCGTTTGACATCTGATTGCTTTACATCAAACCACTTAGAAGTGCAGAATCCCCTGACCAGCTGTGTGTGTTTGTTTTGTGAGCTTGTTTACTTTGTGGCTTGTTTTTTATTTCATGAGTGGAGCCTCACAGGGCTCGTAATTGGATTGTTGGGAACATTTCATTATATTCCATTACCTGCATTCTCCCTTTCCTTCATATGGTAATATTATTCTTTATTATTGGCAGTTTTTCTGAACATGTCAAGACAAATGTTAAGAAAAATGTCATGATTTTGTGCTATTTTTTGACAAAGCCAGAGTGGAAACAGACAGACAGAAGTGGGGTAGTATGTGTGTGATGGGAGGGAGGAGAGGTGCCAAGATGTGCAGTGTGGTGAGGCAAATCACACTTTGAAATATTCTCAGAAGTGTAATTAACCATGAGTTTCACTGTTTTCCTGAAGTGCTTCACAAAAATCATAGGGAATCTACTGAGGTTTCAGGTGTGTGACTACGGTATGACAGAAATGGCTGTCCTGGGAGGCTGCCTCATCAGCGCTCTGCATAGACTGGGCTCTTTCTCAGCCCTAGGCAGCTGCTGGCTGGAGCTAAGGTAGAACCATTGCTCTCCAACTGGGAGGTTAGGTCCCTTTGCCCCAGTAGCAGCGCAGTAAGAGAATTTAGAAGCACTGCCCAGATCATCTGTCTCCTCCTTTGTAACTGTGCAGTGTGGGGCTGAGTGGATGCAGAACCGCAGAGTCTGCAGGGGAGCTTTTCTTAAGACGTTGCCTGTCTTCTTGTCCTGGTGGGGCTTATTTTCTGTCAGCTGGTTGTTTTTTTCCTTTAAATATGGCATTGAGCAGTTAAAAATGAGTGGATGTGGAGGTGAGGAGTGGTGAGAGCAGTTGTACTCCACAGCAGCCTTGCCGTGCAGCGAGAGCTGGATGGGGAGAGCTGGAAGATGCACAAACAAGTGCAGGCTTGTACTTCTGCTGCCTGTGATAGCACCCTTTGTGTTCTGCAGTGCTGACAGGCAGTGGCTGACCAGGTTGAAGCTGCTACAGCAGTACCACAGCATGCCTGCTACAAGAATGAATCCCTTTTAATTTCATTCTATGGCTTGTTTAAAACAGTATCACTGCTTGTTTATGGCTGCTAACCCAAAGGCTTCCAAACATCTTGCTCATTTTAGAGGTGGATGCCTTTGCAAAGACAAAGTAAACTCACAGCTGTGATGCAGAGGTGTCTGCAGCTGATGGAACAACTGCACCTGTACTGAGTAATGGAGTTGCCCCCACAGTTCCAGTTTGGGTCTTATTTTATTTGATCTTTTTGGTTATTATTTTAAATACTTGCACAAAGAGTCATCTCTGTAGAATTTCCTCGTGGCTGGTCATGGTAGAGTCACGCCTTGATTTCTACCACAGGGAATTTTTAGAATTGCTTTGGATTAGTCAGAACTCCAATAATTAAGAAAAAAAACCCAAACCTTGGAGGAAAAATGAGTTTTTCTTGTGCTGCTGTTTTAAGACTCAGAGCTGCTGCAGCTTTTATTGCAGAAGGGCAGAGGTGAAAGTGGATGTCAGCTTTTAGCATTATGCCTCCAGTGTACGGGGAGTGCCAGGACTTGTAATGGAGTTAGCTGGAAGTCATTCTATCAGTATTTGAACCTTCAGCCATCCCTTTCCCTGCAATGAAGCTAAACTTCTGTTCTGCAGCAGGCTGGGTTAGTTCACTGGTGATACAGTGACCTTGTTGCACACTGTGCTCCATGGTTACTGTGCAGCTGTGAATCATAGAGTGTAAATATCAAATGTCGGTGTCTCTATTTTTCTCTCTTGGTCACTCTCTTTGCAGGTGTTCAGAACGGACCTGATCACTGCCATGAAGTTACATGACTCCTTCCAGCTGAACCCTGATGAATACTATGTGCTGGCAGACCCCTGGAGGCAGGAGTGGGAAAAGGGAGTTCAGGTGCCAGTTAGCCCAGGGACCCTCCCAGAACCAGTAGCCAGGTATAGTTCGAAGGAATGTAAATAAATACACAAACATTTATACTAGCAGCTGTATCTACATTGCCTTGGCTTCTTGAGCTGTATTCCACAGTGTCTAGCTAGAAAGGTCTCGGTTCTTGGAGATGAAGAGCAACCTGCCTCAGCTTTTTGAATGATCAGAGAGGTCAAGAGTCAGGCTTGCTCTGCCTGTGTGTTAAAATGTGAATGTCAGAGAGTAATTTTTGGCATTACATTAGGATGGAGTGTGATGACAGAACCTTACAAATAGCTTCTATTTTTAAGTCCAGACTTGACCTCACTCAGCATTTCCAGGAGAGCCCTTGTCTAATGCTTCTTGTGTTTAGTTCCAAGCCATAGGTTCCTTTCAAGGAGCAGTTAGACAGACTTAAGGGCTAGGGAAAACACAGCATTTATTCTGGTTTTGTGTTATTTTTTTGGTTGTTTCATTTACTACCTTAGGAAATGGTTTGTTGTACAACATTTCAGCTGTTTTAAGAGCCGTCCAGATGTGCATGTAACTAAATACATTAATGTGAGATTTTCTAGCTCTTATCCAAGAAACCCTTATTTTCCTTACCGTGTTTGTTATGCTTGGATACTGTTTTCTGTTTCAAATTAAACAGTGGTAAGGGCAGGAGTGTGCTGCAGCCCAGCTGTCTATTTCATGCTTAGTTGGGATTGGAGCTGGAGAAAGTGGGAAGAACAAGGATTATTGCTATTTAATTCTACTAGATCACTTTGATTAAAGTCCAGGCTGGGCTGTAAGGTGTTACCAAATGACTCACCAGTGTTGATGGAGCCAGAACAGCCCGATCCCTGATATACAGCAAAAAAATCATGGATAATGCTACACTGCTTTTGCTGTCTTTAACCTTGGAGCAGGGGGACTACAGGAATGTTTAGCACTTCTTGTGTTCTGTGCAGCAGCCTGCAGACCGCTGCACAGCCCCACTAGGTCTGTACAGTGAGGAACTTCACTGACACATCAGGTAGACCCTCTCCTTCCTTCTTCTTCCAAAGGAATGGAGGTGGATGTCCAAGGAGAACTTGAGATTTTTTCCTTGTGCTGTGCAGTTTAGAACATGGGAGCATACTGTTTTCCTGCAGAGCTTGTAGTCTGCTCTACACTGACCTCAACCAGTCCCTAACGTAAATGCACACACACTGGACATGTGTGCTCAGATTGTTGTCTTCTCACTGGTTTCTCCTTCAGGCATCTCCCAAGGCTGCAGGATGGCTGGGAGACTGTGGACTTCAGCAGAGGGAAACTGTCCAGGGGATCCCCACCCTGTTTCTTTCAGGGAGGTGGTTTGGTAGCTGTATCAGATTCAGGTACTCACTTAGGAGAGTTTTTCTCTGCCAGTGGCCAACAGAGATGTTGCTTCAAATTTAAGATATTAAAGGAAATGGGGAAAGGCACCACCCACAGTTGTAGGTATCAGTACAGGAGGCATCACTGTTTCTTAGCTGCTGAGCAATCTTGTATGGTGCTGCTGGAGAGCACCTGCTGCTCAGAGTGGCTCTGTGATACCTGATTATTTTCTTGCTTGCTCCCTCACAAAATACTCGAGAACTCTGTGGTGGTGGTGCTGTAGAGCTGGAACTGTTCTGTACCTGACTGCGGGAGGAGAGGCAAATGTTCTGTGAATTGAACCAGCAGTACTGAAACAGTAGCTGATGTAGAACAGAGGCAAAATACAATACAGACAGCTGATGCCAGCAACGTATGTAATGGTGAATTAAAGGTTTTGGCTGGTCAGAGCAGGAGGTGTAGGTTCAGAGAGGTGGTGAAAGGAGCAAGTCCATGTGGTGATTGCGTATAAGCATAGTCAGGAGGATAATGCAGTTGGATGGCTTTGTCGGTATGTGGCAAGTGTTGCATTTTTTTACTTATTTTGATAAGAAATAAAGAGGTGGAAGTGGTTTATTTTGAAGCCCAACTGCCTGTGCCACTAGAGTGGTATTTAGACAGCATGTGAAAGGTGCAGCCCAGAGTTTGTGGTTTCTGGATGCGGTGGTGCTCAGGAAGGAATTTCTAGTGCAGAAGATACAGAGAGCAGTGCCCAGTTTCAGGTAAATATTCTGTGAGCTGTAATAGTCCCTAATATTTTAATACTGTGCAGCATGACCAGGAATGATTTGGGCAGTGCAGTTAGGCTGGCATGGTCATTCATAGTTGTATTCTTCCACAGTTCCTTTCTGCACCTCAGAAGCCACAAATTCAGCATTTGGCTCCTAACCACAGTTGCCACCATACGTCAGATTGTTGTCTGAAATAAGCTAGGTGAGGGGAAGATTTAGGGCTGTGCAGAAGACTGAGATAGGTAGAGGATTTACTGTGTGTGCAGATGAAGTAGTGGCAGATCAAGGTCTTCTGACGGGAGGAGGAGGCGTTAACATGTTGGACTTCAAATGGGGGCAGAACAGGTTGGAGGATGTCCTGCTTGTTGTGTAGCTTAGGCCATTCCCCGCAAAAAGTTGTGTGTACATGGAGTGGTGTTATCTCCTTGCTAGTAGCATTAGTGCAACAAAGATCATCTGCACTGGTGCTGCAGGGGGCAGTCACTTGGCAGCGTGACCTGTTGCTTCTGGAGGTACCAGCCTTATGTGGTGAAGTGGATTTGATCCAAACCGAATTTCAGTGTGTGCAGTTAACTAAGAGAAAGTCCAGTGTCCTCTAGTGAGGGAACTGTGCTACAGGATGGAGTTACCTTACTGTTTGGAGGCAAGCCTGATGGTAGAATGACTGCTGTCCTTTGTGAACTGGGTGGTTTTGCCCCCAGTTCCTGGCTTTGCAAGGTTGTGGTATTGCAGGAATCTGACTTAGAACAAGTGATGTGTTGTAGGTACTTTACTGTTTCCTGAACCAATGCCTGGGGTCAAACAAAAATTCCATTGGCTTGCAGCTAAAATACACTTTCATGATTGGTGGTTGGCCAGCTGGAGCTTTCACAGCCTGAGAGAAAGTAGTTTCATCAGTAGCTGATTAATATTTGCACTTGACCCAGCATAGCATTAGTGAATGTGAAAGAGGAAATGCAGACTGAGAATGCTTGGGTAAGTGGAGGTGAAACTAGTGCAGGTTACTGATTCTCTGTGGAAAAGTCTTCTGAATTTCACAGGGATGACAATTCCTTAGCTACATGTGTACACATACACAAAACCCCTTCAAATGTAGCAGGAAATACTACTTTTTTTCCTTGAATTTTCATGATCTTGGTATTGTAGATTTCCAAACAAGTAATGTAGTTCAACAGATTGATTTAAAAAAAGGCTGGAAACCAGAGTTTACATCTGTGTGTATAGCAGCTATCACTACATGAATACAGTGTTCCCACTTTAGCTTTAAACAAGTGTGAATTTCAGGTAAGAGTAAGCACAACCCTATCCTCTAATCTTTCCATTTTATTTAGATTTTTGGTAACGAATCTGGTTTCTAGACAGCTCCAGTTAACATCTTATAATATCACCTGTCCATTATGGAAATGTGCTGTACTGTTTCCCTTAGTGAGCATGATAATTACTTAGGTGGTCAGATATGTCCTGATGATGGTTAGTCGCTTAAAGTGAGGCAGTTTGAGTTCTCTAGAAACAAGTCTCTCAGCATCCTAGCATACCTGACATCCTCTTGTGTGTCTGTTTCAGGGTTGTGTCTGAGACGAAAGCCATCACGTTTACACGACCCAGGAAGTACATTGTTTCATCAGGGTCGGAGACTCCGGAGCTGGGCTATGTTGACCTTCAAACCTTAGCAGACAGCATGTGTCGCTATGACCTCAATGATGTGGACGTAGCATGGTTGCAGCTTGCCAATGAAGAATTCAGAGAAATGGGTGAGCAATGAGTGATGGTGTTTGTGTTTATTTTTAAAGGTTTAAGAATAATTTGAGAGAGGGCAGGAGCAGGAAGAGATGGGGTAGCCATGGGAAGACGCGCCTGATGTGATTAAGCCATAAGATACAGGCTTTTGTAAGTGCTGAGTAGTATTTGTTTAGACCAGATCAGAGTCTAGCCGCATGGTTGGGTTTTTTTTTTTTTCTCTGCTGCTTTCTATTTCACAAGGCAATTCTCCCAGAGTTCCCGTTTTGCCATCAGGCTTCTTGAAGAGGACATTAGCTAGGCTGTTCATTGTTTCCCCAGTTAGTCCTTTCCATTTACTTACTTACTTTTGTCTGTGTCATACCCATATCATCTTTTTAGCTAGCCATGTGGAGTGCAAAGAAAGTAGACAAGGAGTCTTGGGAGGTCTGGAGAGCTTAATGCCATGCCAGTTGCACAGGGAATGAGACATTAAGGAACTCCTGTAGCGATGTATTGGAGGAACCTCCCAAACCTTACTGTGCCTGTGGGCTCCAGTTAGGAAGCAGGAAGAAGAGGTGTTGCAGGAGGAGCAGCTCTTCCTTTTTCTGCAGGATGACTTGTGCATTGGAAGGGACAAGGAAGCAGGGCAAGAACAGGAATGTTGGTGAATCTGGGTTATGTGTCAGCATTGTGGCAGTCCCCTACTCTGGGTTACAGAATGCTCATACAGGTTTTACCTGGCTGCAGCCCACGTGTGGCATGGCGCAAGACCTGGTAAACCACAAACTGACTGTTTAGAACTCTTGAATTAAACCCACATATGACCTAGCCATGACCTGGTCTCTTACCCAAACCTTTTTTCCAGATCTCAGGTCAGGCCTGCTCAGGTTTAGTGTTGGGCTTAAACAAGTCAAGCCAGTTCATAATTGAAGAGTTTAAGTTACTTTTCTAAGTGACCTTCAGGAAAACAGCACCAGCAAGTCCCCTTAGCTTTCTTCAGAATAAAATAAAAATACTTTTATGATTTTCTGTTGATGCCCATCAGTGTAGATAATCCCTTCTGTCCATCTGTCCTGCCAGAACCAGAGGAGGGCTGCCACAGTGTTACACTGGGGTGTGAGTGGGGAGGTGTGTGAAGCCCTGAAGTGGCCATTCTGCTTGTTTCCTCTTGCTGCCTTCCATCTGCTCCTTGTGGGAAATGTTGGAGGCATTGATCCCTGCTGCAGAGATTTACCTGCTAGTAGGGGAAGCTGGAAGTACTTCCATAGAGTGTTTGTCTTTGACCTGCAGGAGCTAGAGAGGTTTTTAATCCTTCATTTTGTGGAAGTTATGGCTCAGTCACACGGAAAGCTGAAAGGAGGATTTTCTTGTTAAAACACACATCGTAAGGTTGCCATCTTCTGTATGTCACAGGAAACATTAGGTATTAGACCAAAAGTGGGATATCCTAAACCTGTGCTTCTTTGTAGTGATTTAACTATATGGAAATTCTTGTGCTAAACTGACTTGGCAAAAGGAAGATGACTGTTGGCAGTAGCATAGCTGTCCTGGTTTCACCGGGGCTTGTGCGGAGTGATTGTGTGGGGAAGGTCAGTGCAGCACCAACCTTGGAAGTATTACGGCCAGCTCATTGTCATGGCAAGTGAAACATGGAAGCCAGAGGGGGAAGCACCAAGCTCTTTTTTGATATCTTTCCTGCTGCATCTATGATAGATATTTTTGAGGTCTGTAATGGTAATATAATTAACAAAGATAGATTATAGAATACTGTAGTACAGTCAGCTTGCAGCTGTGGTGTCATGAATAATTTTCTGATGGATGTCGTTTGAAAAGACCGAGTCCCAGATTAGATGGTGAATGTATTTATTGTCCCAGATTTGATGTTGCATGTATTACTGGTGTGTTTTCACTTGTCAAACCAATTTATTGTCAGTTGGGGTTGCACCCTCTTGAGTTGGAAGTTATGGAAAAAACAGCAGCTGTTGTTAGAAACTTTTGTTTGCTGTAAGTATTGCAGCAGATTTTGTCAATGATTTCTTCCCTCTGCCCTCATCGCTTTTGGTTCAAAACACTCTCAAATCCTTCACCAAAGAGTCAACATATGGGTTGCAAAATTGAAGCCGAAGCCATAGACGGGGCTGTACCAGAAGGAAAAATGAGAGCAATACCAGGAAGCCAAAATCAGTTTATGGAAATTTTCCCCAGGATTTTGAAAGATTTCTTTGGATATTGCACTTCTGTTAGGTTAATACAGTTATAAGACAACTTTGACTTTATTTTCCAGTTTCTCTAGTTTATGCTGGAATAGGCTGAGGTTGTCAAGGAATGAAATGTGCCTGCTCGGGGGTTGGCTGTATCTACTCAGCTGCTAAAACAGAAGCTGGAGCTGTGTGTTACCACTCTTTCCCCTGCTCCCCAGGGATGCCCGAGCTGGATGAATACACGATGGAAAAGATCCTAGAGGAGTTTGAACTACGATGCTATGAGAACATGAATCATGCTATTGAGACGGAAGAAGGACTTGGGATTGAATATGATGAAGATGTTGTCTGTGACGTCTGTCAGTCTCCAGATGGAGAAGATGGCAACGAAATGGTGTTTTGTGACAAATGCAATATTTGTGTGCACCAGGTATGGTGGCCCAGGGCACTGTGACGTGTGTAGGGATGATGACAGAAACTTTTCAAAACCATTAAAGATAAGAGATGGGATTTTTTCCAGTGACATTGATCTGTTCAGTTGCACAGAGTTCATCATCAAGTGGTGGGGTGAATTCAGAAGTTATGTAATTGACTAGAATTGTTACATGTGATTTTAGAAGTATCATGCTGAGAAGGTTAAAAGTGGTACTGTTTATGTGTGGAGGAGTTACAAGGTGAGGAGTTGCCTTCCCAGAACAGATGTGTCTTGTTACACATTCTCACCTGGTCACTTCTTGTCCTATATTCATATCCTCTCTGCACACTTCAGTATCAGTAACTGAGGCTCAGCAGGGAGGGAAAAAAGGGTTACAGGCAATCAGTGGGGACATAGGGAGGATTTATTATAGTAATTTTAATTTAATGGAGAACTTACAGAGTTGAGCTAGTGAAGCGCTATTATGTGCCCTTTTTGTGCCATTTAAAAAGTCTTCAATTTTAGCATTATCTGTTTCTGTGGATGCTTCTTATTGCAACAGGTGCTTTTCTGTCAGTCTGTCCTTCCTTCCTTCCCAGCTCTAAGAAGTTTGCTTTGCCATTCATTGTTTTCAAAACTGTGGTCTTGTGAGCAAGAATGGCATTTTTGTGTATGTGTTACTTAAATGCAGTTGTACTAATGATAAAGAAATACACCTGCGAGAGCTGTGAGGTACAGATGGCTTTCTTGTGAGATATGCAGTGAGGTGGATGTTTTTAGACTTGTAGTGGTTCTGTTTCCTTAGTTTCTGATCACATCAAATCTGAAACTTAAGAGGATTAAAACTGACAGTATTGTGGACACAGGTCTCCATAAAGGTGCAGTATCTGAAAAAAATGATACTAGTTCGATGCTGTTCTGCATTTTCCCCTCTGAATACAAAGTAAAACCTGATGCTCCTGAGTTAACATTGAGTACTGCACAGCCGAGCTTCTTAGTTGGTGATTCTAGCCTTTTGAGTTAGGTATAGCCCAACCCCTGTTATGTGAGTCTTGGTGATACTGAACTTTGTCGGAGCTGGCTTCTGGCAGGGTTGTCTGTCAGGAGTCCCCTTGCTGTTTGGGCTGGCAAACACATTTTTTTCTTTTTCCCAGATGATGTTGGCAGTGGTTTTTGCCTAACAGCTGGTCATGGCATCTGATCTTTGTGGGGAATGAATGGGTGGTGAGGTTGGCTAAGGTTTTGAAAGCATCCTGAGATCCTCCACAAGATGAAGTGTCTGTAGTGTCGGCAATCCCATAAAGAACTGTTCGAAAGCTGGGAGAGGCTACATGTAAGCAGCTAAAAAGTAACAGAAATTCACATCATTCCCATGTTTTCTTTCCCCACAGGCATGCTATGGGATCCTGAAGGTGCCAGAAGGCAGCTGGTTGTGCAGGACCTGCGCACTTGGCGTTGAGCCCAAGTGTTTGCTGTGTCCTAAGAAGGGTGGAGCCATGAAGCCAACTCGAAGTGGCACCAAGTGGGTCCACGTTAGTTGTGCTCTATGGATTCCAGAGGTAGGTACTGATCCTATGGGAGTGCTGGGCTGCTGGGTTCTGGGAGCAGTATGTTATAAAAACATAGCTCAGCTTCTTGTGTGTTGCTGCAGTTTGCTTAACATACATATGATAGTTCTCAGTAAGACAGTATAAAGGATTTTCAGTAAGGTGTACAGTCTGGCAGGATGATGCATCATCTATAAAGAAATTACATTACCTTTGTCAACCAAAATTAGGCCTCAAAAAATGAGGCCTTTGTTGCTGGCAAATCTCCTTTAACAAGGACACAAAGTATGGCTTTATTTTGTGAAGGGAACATTAAAGGTGTATCAGGAATGTTTGGATGTAGCAGTGAGAGCTCCTGTGGGTTTTCATCCTGCATGGTAATTTCAGAATGGTGGGTTTCACCTTGAAACTATCTCGTTCATGCGGTGAGGAGCTGATGTTTTTAAAAAGGAATTGTAATTTTTTTATTTCCTTACAAATTGAGGAACTTGGAACATGCTCGTTTTGCACATGCATAGAAGGAATTAGATTTCTTTGATAAATTGCTTTCCAGTTAACAGTGTAATGGTCGTTCTGTGGTTTTTAACGTTTTTTTCTTTAAGGTGAGCATTGGAAGCCCAGAAAAAATGGAGCCCATTACAAAAGTTTCTCACATTCCCAGCAGCAGATGGGCACTGGTGTGCAGCCTTTGCAATGAAAAAGTTGGAGCTTCTATACAGGTAATTTAATTGCACAGATATCTGTGTGTTTTGTTCTGTCAGTTTTTAGTAGATACACAAAACTTGTATCTGCCATAAACTTTATTTGATTTCCTGTTTGCTACTATGGACTTAACTGTATAGAGTGCTGTCAATGTTAGCATGTTCTTATTGACTAGTCAGATTTGAATAATAATAGCCAGGTCATCTATCTGCTAGTCCCTGTTTAGTGACTTCTAAGACAAGTTGTGTATTTCAATGGGAGTTGTGTATAAAGCAGTTGGTTTCACACCACCAACTCCCATTCTTGTGCCAGTGCCGGTTTGTCTCACTGCATACTTTTGAAATTCTCTCTCCAGTGTCAGTTGCATTTGGGTTCAGCCTTTCTCACCATATCCTGTGAACTGTGGCTGTTAAATGATCTGCACCAGGGTATTTTCAGACCAGGCAGTGTCAGTTCACGTGCATATTTATATAGCCTGTAAAGCACTTGCATATCCTCTGCAGTGGAAGATCACTCAGAAATGTTAAATAATCATTTTAAGAACACTTTAAGAATAATTTTAGAATTAGATTGTGAAAACATAATGCCAAGCCCCAAGTTTTTGAAAGAGGAGATACTAGGTTTCTTGAAACACAAGACAAAACTTTGACCTAGCTTACTCACTACCATATGATGGGAGAGCATGAAGACAGGTGACCCACTCTGAAGAAATAGAGCTCTGTCCATTGTGTTGTGGCTGGCCTTGCGTTGCAGGGTCCAGGGTGGTCAGACCAGCATTAAGACACAAAAGTCCTTTGAAATTAGGTTTTATCCATTTCCTTTTCCCCTTCTGCTCTATCTGATAAGGTTACCAGCAAAAGCTGTAAACCAGCACTGCAGCAGTAGTTCCAGTGAAACCTATCAGTCCATTCTCATTTAAGTAATGTATAAAATAGTAAATGTTAAGTTAATAAATCTGTCCACAGCATATAAATTTGCAATTGCAATGCCTCCTTGAAGAGCTGCCCCTTCCTCTTGGCTGCTACTTGGTGGATGCTGTTTTGTCCATTCTGTGGGGTAACTCACAGTAGTTTAAGTTGAATGCTTGAGTGTTTACATATGTCAGTGTGGTATGGAGGGGGGTGTCCTTCCGTATTTGTTCTCCCTTTCTAGTGCTGACACAGGAGGACATGCGCAGACATGACAGCTGCCACTTCAGACAGCTCTGCATTTGAAATTATGGGGAAAGAGACAAAAAATGGCAGTCATGCCTGACATCTTACAACAGTTGTGAAAATCTTTGGTATCGTTAAAGCTAGCAGTGAGAAATACATAGATTTGTGTTGTGAAATTTTATACAGCAGAGAAGAATATTATACAGAGTGACTGCAATGGAGAGGAAGTAGCATTAACTGGAGAAACTAGGGGAGATGGGATTTTTCAGAGATGTTGGGAGATAGGCACAGCAAACAGAAAAGCTGGCAGCTGGAGTGTGTGTGAGGCTGGGCATGGAGCAACCGCAACAAGCTGGGAAAACTGAGACTGTGTATTCTCCCAGATTCAGCAGATTTCCTTCTCATGAGACAGGCTTCCCCTTCTCTCAGTAAAACATCAGCCACACTAAGATAATTATTCTGAATGGGAGCAGCTTGGAAACCGTGGCTGGAGTACTCACCTGGACTGTGTGGTGTTCCAGCAGGGCTGCTTTTGCTCTGCTTGTTGGTAACAGGAAAGGGCAAAAGATGGGTTGGTATTTTTTAATTCCTTTTATACGTTGATTTTATTGGAGAATGTTCATTTGAAACTTCTGCACTTTAAATTCTCCTGTACCTTTATATGCCATCTGGCTGCTGAGTGAACCTGAGCAGGAAAATCCAGCAGAGAAGGATATTTGGCTTCTTTACAAAGCACTATGTAAACATCCTTGTGCAGCGCATTTATTTCTCTTTAAGGTTAGATGACTTGGGTTAAGCATAGTTTTGTTTCCTCCTAGCTAATAGCACCAATGTTCATTTCCACTCTAAATTCTCTTCACTGGAGGCTGAGGTGTGGGTTGATACAACTGCATATGTATGCCTGTGGGTATATACGTACACATATATATTTAAACCTTTCAGTTGTGGCTGGTGATAGCTATGACAGCAGTTTGCAAGAGGAAGTTACATACAAATGAAGTGCTAAATCAGCTGAACTAGTGCCCATCACACCATGATGGCTGGGCTCATAGGGAGGGAAGAAAAAGGACAGAAAATGGAATTTCCTGTTTTCCTCATGTCCCAGATGAAGTGAAAGCTGCAGTCAGTGAAGTAGTGATTGACAGCAATTTAATATTTGACATTATAAAATTGGGATAATGGGAAGAAAACTGCCCTTGGTTGAGGCCTTTTGGGCAGCACAGGTCCCAGTGCTAGGAAGGACTTTTAATTAAAAGTATCAGACTGGCCTGGAGCCCCCAAGGTGTTTTTCCCTCTCTTGCTGGCACAGCCAAAGTGGAATGATTTCCTTTGTGTAATGCTGCCTTACATGTGTGCCCAGTGCTGGTGAGAAGGCTCATCTTGTGGATTTGCTGGTTATTGAATAGGGCGAGGGAGGGGTTAACCACTTCTGTCCCACCAGGCCACTTCGTCCTTACCTAGCCTGAAAGCACAAAATCATAAGCCTAATTAAAAGAGAGCAAGGAACTACATGCAGCTTAAAGGAAGAGCACGGGTACAGAGCATTCCTGGCTGCATGAATAGGTTTAGGCAGTCTGGCTTCTTAAATTTGTGTTTGATGAATTTTAATTTAATTTGTGCAGTGTTCGGTGAAGAACTGCAGAACAGCCTTTCATGTTACCTGTGCATTTGACCGTGGCTTGAAGATGAAGACTATCCTGGCAGAGAATGATGAGGTGAAGTTTAAGTCATACTGTCCCATGCACAGTTCCACCAAGAAAGTGGATGAGGAGACTTTCAGTGAAAGCCCAGGTCAGGAGAATGGGATTGGGATTCAGGACAGCTCTCTTCCCGCCCACATTGACCCTTTCCACAGCATGACTCAAAACCAGGAGGAGGCCCACAGAGTCAGCCTCCGCAAACAGAAACTCCAGCAGCTGGAGGATGAGTTCTATACCTTTGTTGAGCCTGTGGAAGTGGCTAAAGTACTGCAGCTTCCAGAGGAGTCAGTGGAATTCGTTTACCAGTACTGGAAGCTGAAAAGAAAAGCCAACTTCAACAAGCCTTTGATTACTCCAAAGAAGGATGAAGAGGACAATCTGGCCAAACGAGAACAGGATGTTCTGTTCAGAAGACTGCAGCTCTTCACACACCTCCGGCAGGATCTAGAGCGGGTAAGGCATAGTACTGCCTGCACATGCTTAAGTGGCACTGCCCTTCATTAGCCAGGTTTCTAAATTACGTTTTCAGTTACTGCCCTTGCATGCAGGTACTTCATGCTGCATCCTCACACAAAGTGGTATTGTCAGAGAAGACCATGAACGCTATATTTCTATGGAGCACACCAGTTACTCATTCCAAACAGAGGGTTAGTTCAGAGGCCAGCAGGTCTTGGTAGTAGTATCCAGTCTCCTTATAAGCACGGGATTGTTGTATTTCCACGTACCTGGAGCTTTTGTAGCCTTTAAGGGCTTTCTCTGTGCCTTTCATCTGTTGCACAAGCAGGAAAAGATTATGAACCTTACTTTGATTTGCAGCAGATAAGTGTTTTCATTGACATAGCATAGCATTAACACATACAGACACTGGACTGCCTGTGTAGTAGGTTTGGGAGGCGTGATACTGCACTCCAGTTTTCAGTGTTTAAAGAGCAATTTTGTGTTTTAAGTACATCTAATCTTGTAGTAACCTGAATTCCTTCCTCTTGGGGTTGTTTGGGTTAGCCAGTAGAGTTTAAGATCAAATCAGTTTAAGTTTAGAGAACACTTAAGATCAGTATTAAGTTTAGAGACAGAGTACTGAAATAATTCCAGCTTTTCACGTCCATACAGTATGTGGCTCATGGAGGCCATGTACAGGACCTGGCTCAGGGGCTCATAACTCAGCCACAGTAACCTGTGGGTGAACTGGAGCCTTTCTTCCAGAGTAATACCTAGCCTTTAAATCAGGACAGTGGGTGTTCATGCATCTGCTGCATTCTTTGTAAAGTCCCAGTGGTTAACTACTCTTCTAAGGAATCATTGCAATTTTACTTGGAAGTTTCTTCTCTAGTTTCAACTAGAAATGACCCATACTAGAAATGGCCCATGACCCTTCTCTAGTTTGGTGAAATGGCATCTCTTGTTTCTGCTGCATGCTCAAGGCTTCTTTTCATGTTCTCTTTGATCAGCTAAATAAGTTGAGATTGTCACTGTGTTCTGTGGATCTTAAATGGTTCTGTAGGTATACTTCCCATTTTTAAGTGCAATGTCAAAACAGGATACATCATTCCAGTAATATTTTACTACTCCATTGTTCCCTGTTGATTTTAATTGAAGTTATCTTGGACATACAGAAAAAAAAGTCTAAGTTTTTTTTTCCTCTTCAAGATAATCAAGTTACCCAAGTTTATGAGTGACATTACTGACAGCGTCATCTATCTAGAAACAGTCTAAAATCATGTCATCCAGTTTATGGAAGAGGTACTTTGATGGACATGATGTATTTGTTGTGCAGCTGGGCTCAAACAAGGCAAAGAACAAAAGGCCAGGGACTGTCTCAGAAAGGGGACCAGACAGACAAATCCCTGCTAATTAAGATCCACAGAGTAATAACAGTTAGTTAAACATACTGGCTTGCATGGGACTGGAACCTTTAAACAGAGCAGGACCTCAGCATGCAAGGTTACACATCTCAGTGTCCCCTTCTCAGTGACTGTGAGACCAGCCTACAAGGCTGTAATGCACAGGGCACCATACTGCGGCTGCATCAGGATGAGCAAGGAGCCCTGGGAACACTCACATGGACCCCTCAGCAATTTCTTCCACTGGGAGAGAAGGAGCTAATGAGCTCTAGGAGAAAAATATCTCAATTAAATGGTATTTAAGACTCTTCTGTAAGAAATATGTTCAAGAAGGTTAAAATACAGGTGCACTACTAACTTGTTTAAATGGTGTATAGTGCTTAAACTGAATTAAGTCAAAGAGCAGATTGACAACATTATAGAAACGCAATTCCTGTAAAACTCATAACTTGATGTCTTCTAGGTGCGTAATCTCACCTACATGGTGACCCGAAGGGAAAAAATCAAGAGATCTGTTTGCAAAGTTCAAGAACAGATTTTTAATACTTACGCAAAGCAGCTGGAACAAGAAAGAGTTTCAGGTATGCTTCAGTGTTGTCTTTTTCACCTAAGACCACAGGTACAAGCATTGAAGGGTTTGGCTACAGGCTAATAGGTAATTTTGAAGGACAGTCAGGACCATGATCATTTATTCTCATTAAGATCTTGTGTAGTCCACCATGCTTCAGCAGACTGGGAGAGATGTGGGTGGGTGGGGCTCTAATAGTGGGCACATTGCTATAGGAACTGGTAAGTCTATGCTCTTGTCTAAGGGGCACTGAGTGGCTCATGGCTTCAGCTTCTGTCTGGTGTGATTCTTCAATGACTCTTTGTGACAGGAAGACATGACTTAGGTTACCGTATGGTACCTCCAGAGTCTCTGCTTTATTAATGCCACTACTTTAGTGAATTCACATTAGTGAATTTTGAAAAGGTAGCACTCTGGTTTTAAAACAAGATGCAGTTTTTTTCTCATTGCCTTTTCTCAGAAAGATTAATATCCTCAAACTTAAATGCATTAACTAGATTATCATTAAAGTATTCAGTAATAATGAATCACATTTTAGGCAGAATCAATCAGATTCACTTGCTGGTTGCTTCCCTGCCCTGGAGTCTGTCTTAGCAGCTACAGTAGTGCTAGGATTTGTATTTGCTAGAAGTGTAACTGGATGCAGCACAGCTGCAGGAAAGCAAACTACACCAGCAGTATGTTGTGAAACCAAGACATAGCCACATAACTGTGGCCAAATACCCACTGATTGTCAAAAAACACACCAGGTTCTGGGAAGAACAGTGTTAAAATACGTATATGCAAAAGTGGTATTTACCCAGATGTGGAATTCCTTGACTTTAACTTACTTTGTTTACATGTAGGTGTGCCTTCCTCATTCTCCTCCATGGACAATACAGTGCTGTTCAACAGTCCATCTTTGGGCCCCAGTGCCCCTAAGATAGAGGATCTGAAATGGCATTCTGCATTCTTCAGGAAACAGATGGGCACATCCCTAACTCATTCCTTGAAAAAGTCACACAAGAGGGACAGAGTAAGGGAGAGCTTGGGGAATGACAGCAAAGCCATTCTGAGGCAGCCCAGCCAAAAAGAGGGCAGTGCAGCTCCAGGGAGCTTTTTACATTTTGACAAGACCTGTGCAGAAACGCGGATTGCATCAGCACAGCAGAAAAATGCCATAGTTATACCAGACCATAGAAAAAGCCAAGACAATCGTCCACAGTGTGAGGTGACCAAGGCAGAACTAAAAGAAAAGACTTCTAAACACAACCACAAACCACTGAGACCTACAGAACTCTCTCAGAGGCAATCAGAAAATAAAAGGGCTGTGAACCACTCCAGTGGTAGGTCAGCACCTGGCATGCGGAGGGATATAGTGCCTAAATGCAACGGGGGTCTTGTGAAAGTAAACTCTAACCAGACAGCTGCAGTTCAAGTGCCTATGACACCCACGAGCCCAGTGAAAAACTGGGGTGGATTCCGAATTCCAAAGAAGGGGGAAAGGCAACAGCAGGGTGAGAGCCTAGAGGAGACCTGCCGCCAGAGCTCCAGCTACCCCTGCTTGGGCAGAGTTTCCCCGAAGGACAGAGCAAAAAGCAAGCTCAAGCCCGACAGTGAGAATGATGGGTATATCCCTGATGCCGAAATGAGTGACTCAGAGACTGAAGTGGCTGAAAAGAAGTGCCGGCAGCAGAGGCTCAGTCCAAACAACACTATGAGCAGAAGGACAGACATTATCAGGAGAAGCATTCTGGCATCCTGACTGGACACAGGGACACAGAGTCACTGCCTACAAGCCAACTCCATATTATTTATTGATTTTTGAAAAAGAAGAATTAGACTGATGATGACCTGTTATTCCTGAGCTACATAAACATGTTTACATGCACTTAAAACTGCTTTTTTCCGTCTCTCATTCTTTGAGAAGTTTGAATCTCCTTTATTTGCAACTATCCTGAGTAAGCAAAGGAATGATGGGATTTGTGATGAACACTAAAGTCACAGAAACCTTTTAAAAGAGGCTAGGGTGGGTAGGGGGCAGTAGGCTGCATTCATCCCTTTTAGCTAAAAAGCATTGACAAAATTTTACTTCCTTCCCCTGCCTTCTGGAAAAGCACAAGCTCTTAATTTATAAGTAGCGTGTACTGAATGGAAGATGGTTGTTTAACCATACTGCACTGCTAAATATCTCATTACAAATGGTCACTTTTACCTTGGGTGGTGGTAGTCTTTCTCCTCTCTTTGCAGATGTTTCCTGTTGCATTCAGTTTCAGCAGAGGTGGCAGCTCAGACCTGTCTGAAAGCTCCAGAGTTTACATGTACATATACCTATGAGGTGACCAGATTTAACCATGCTGTTATGCTGGAGGAGGAGGAAGGGACTGGTCAGGGCTGCAGCTGTATTACACTGCAGCAGCTGGGAAAGATGCAGACTGAGCACGAGGACGCTCTCAAAATGGCTCAGTTCTGAGAAGGGAACCGGTGTGAAGCTTGTGGGTTACAGCACCCCATGAAATAACCCACCATCATTTAGTCAGTCACCTGCCTCTGTGAGGATGGTGACAACTCCAGAGAGAAATTTCAAAGGCACTAGTTGGTAGGATTTCCCAAAGTCCACTGCAGATGCACTAATGGTACGTACTGGGAAAGCCAGGCTTAGGACGCTAAAGGGTTGCTTTAAAATGGACATGAATATATATTTTTAAATAGAATAAAATGGAAAGGCAATAAATTGTGATTAGCTCTTTACAGTCAAATGAAGAAAAACTACTTCGTTCTATTCTGGACTAGATTTGATGGAAGAAGGATCTCGTATTCTGGTTGTAGACTTTTTTAGTAATTGCAGATGGCAATAACTGGTAAGCTAGGAGCAATAATATCAACAGATCATTAGGGTACTGTTGGGCCAAGTAGAGTGCACATCTAACTAGTGTGTTAGGAGCCTCCAAGTTTTGGAATTCTGTATAGCTGTAAGTCAGGTCTGTACTGGTGAAAAAGCTGAAGCAGCAGTGTGTTACACAAAGTCAGGCATAAAAAAACCCCTCCTTTCCTACCCCCACCTCCTACTCCTAGTCTGCTCTTACATCCCCTCACTTTTTAGTGTTAGACCCTTGCCTCCTGAATAGGAGACATTTAAAGCCCAGCAGAACTCTGCCATAAATGAGTCTTCCAGAGGATTCAATCAAACAAGGCTTATTAACACCCTGTCTTGCTATGCAAGTTATCGCTTAATGAAGTATTTCAACTGAACATATCCCTATCAGTGGTTTCACAACTCCAAAGTCTTACCCTATAGAGGGAGGGGGATTGTGCATAAGATAGTGTACTTTTAAAATAGATTGCTGGTCCCAAGAAGTTAGATGAATGTCAGGACTTCCAGAGGTGAAAGACGGGGCACTGGAGAATCTGAAGTTACAGAGTTATTCTTGTGATGTGTTAAAAGTACTTGATCGACCATCACCAGACAGACAACAGGTGAATGCAGGTAGGTTCTGCTCAACATGTAAGGTTTTCCAAACAGGCACTGTGCTTTTCTGTAATAACGAAGCTTGTACCCATATATGGAATAGTTTGTTAAGCCATAGAAGGAGTCTAAATTTCGATGCTTAAGTAAACATCTAAATTTTGATGCTTAATAAACATTTAACCTCGCACCAGATTGAAGGAGTTACCTTGTTAATTTGCGCTATGATGAACCCTAAGGTTGTGCAGAATTAATGCCTTACCTGTTCTGCTACCTGCTGTTTAGGTTAATAAGCTTTCTAACTTTTGAAGTTAAATTGACCCAAAACCAAAAACCTGTAGGACTGCAGGACGTCTGTAGGACTGCAGGACGTCTAACAGCTCTGTACGTTAGGTTTGTCCCCCATGCTTCGCTGTCAGCAGAGGAGGTGTTGGCAGTACAGCAGTGACAGTACAAACCTGCCCCATCTTTTATTGTGATAGAACCATTTGCTGCATTTCTGGTTTTATAAGCATTTCCTTCTCTTGTGCAGACTGACCAACAGATCTTTGACTATGATTGGTGTATTCTGTCCAACTGTAGGTTAGTTGAAATTCTGTCAAGTTGCCTGGAATGCCATTTGTTAGGCTGCAGACTCACACAAACCTAAATGAAGGGTTACCCGTGTTGTGTATAAATATTAATTTCAGAGATTTGAGAAGATTTGTCATTACATTTGTAAAATCTTGTACAGAAGATTTTTCACTATGTGCCTAGCTTTGGTGTCCATTCAGCTGAAATTAAATAAGAAAGGTGCATGAAGAGAAACAGAAATAAAAAGTATATGTAGAGATGACTATTTTATATTACATGGCCCAATCTGTATTTATTTTCTCCCTTTTTTGAAGTATTTATAAAGACCTAGTTGAAGACAGCTGTTATTTTTTGTTAGAATATTCAGTAGACTTGTGCCTTTTTGTCTGTATGTGAATAAATGCTGTACATTTTTGCAGTATCCTTGCCCAGTGTTTTAGAATTCACAGTAGTTGTGTTTGAGGTTTTACATAAACACTGCGATGATACGAAAAACTCTCATAGGTAACGCCAGCATTTAATTTGGATTATTACAGCTATTAAAATGCAAAGAAAGGTGGTGGGGTTTGTTTTTGGCTTTTTTGCTTGTTTTTTTTTAGGAAAAGAATTTTGTTACTAGCAGCTGTGCTTGTTCCATCAGCAGAAAATTGTCTGATTTTTTTTCCTTGAGATCCTTAAAGAGCTGTTGCTTACCTCAAATAGTTTAGTTGTTGATGTCTGATGTCCTTCCAACAGCCATCATCTTCATACGTATCCCACTGAACAGGAACCTGAAGTTTCTGACCTGGAGCTCTTCAGGATTAGTGTGCTGAATGTACATTCACTCTATGAACTGCCTCTCGTCAAGCAACACCGACAGAATGTTTGCTGCTGCAGCAGGATCTTGAGGAGACAGTAAAAAGTATGCAGGGCTTCCTCTAAACTCAAGCATGGAACAGACTTGCAGCAGAGCAAGTAAAGGGGAAGACTGCAGAGGCGTATGTCTAGTAATACATCCTGAAAACCAGCTGTGGGCAAGTAATTTTTCTCAGATCTGTACTTGTATCACATGCAGTCCCACCGCAGGCACTGCGAGTGGCACCCCTCAATACGTTTCATAGGATGAGGATTAAAGAATGACTCCACGAGGGGTTACTAGTACAAGCTTATCAAGGTGTGGATGAGTCTGAAAGATGTTCTGGCAGCTGCTGTATGGATACTGCTGACAGCAGCCTTTCTGAAAGGCACTGCGCTGCTGGGGTGACACGAGTAAGGCTGGGTCAGGCCTGAGGACAAGCTCTGGCTTGGTGCAGGAAGGTACAAGGCATTTGTGAAGACCTTCAGTTTATCTCACCTGTCAGTTTATCATCTCACCTATTCCCTAGAATCATCTCAACTATTTCCCTAGAAAATTTTCTTACACATAGTCAAGAACAAAATTTTACTCAAGGGAAACAATATCACACTAGAGAATCTTTAAAATGCTTAGAAACTGGTGTTGAGTGGAAAAGGAAGATAGGGGAAACGAACTTTAGTGACAGAGTGACAAGAAATACATAGATAGAAACAAATGTAAAAGAACCAAGACAGATACTGCACAATTACCTGAAACAACCTAATATCATAGGGGAAAGAGCAGGACTTCCCTAATAAGCAAACCTCAAATTTTACTTCCCTCAGCAGGTGCCTTTCCAAATACAGCTTGTGAGACACATGCCAGCAGCCTCCTCTAGAAGCTAAACAGAAATGAGAGGTGGTGGTGGCTGACCAGCTTCATTTGGCCACAGTCCCTTTTGTGGTTTGGACAGAAGTATTTGGTCAGTTTTTAGCTTCTTAGAGGGATTAGGCAGAGGGGAGGGCAATCTTTTTCTTTCTTGTGTCCTCTGCCATAATTCTGCTGCCCCTCGACTATTAAGTGCTTGTGTCATCACTGCATTTTGTATTTTGGCAAGTAACCATTACACAAAAACTAGACCACCAGCTGAAATGAATACACCCGTAACTAAAAGGGAATGAAATAGATTCCTTCTGTGCTTCAAGGAACAAATGCACAAATAATGTTGCTCAAAAACTTACCTGCCATTTCGAGCTGGGTTTCACTTCCCAGCTAGAGCCTCTATTGAAGGTGTGATGGGATGAACAACTCACACAAAACCTTCCAGATGGGCTGTCATTTCAGATGTGCATTATGCAAATGGTAAAAAAAAAGGCGGTTGGTATCACACAGACGGTTGATTGATGACAGTCTCACTGCAACAGACATTTGGAGTTTCCAGACAATGTGTCCATGTTGCTTTGAAAAATCTTGGAAGTCTTTAAGCAGAATTATAGATTGCAGTTGATACAGGTACAGGTACCAAACTGACAAAGCACTAGGAAAGAAGTGTGTACAACTGCAGGACAAGGTAACTTTCTCTGTGGAAAGTAGAAATTCTTCTTGAGGTTGCATCCATTTTGCAGGCCCTACTGAAACAGCAGGTTTTCAGGAGGTGGCACCAACTCTAACCTTCATGTGATGAACAACCTGTGTTTGTCCTCTAAAATGTGAATGGTGAAGATCCACTGTGACAGATGCATGGGTTAGTCCAACAAAACAGTTTTTGTGAAGCCCTGGGTAAGCATTATCCACCAACTGAATTAGAAGTTACAAACCAGAATTACACTCTTCACGTTTAAGAGGAAAGAACAAGAAACTACATTACTTCAAAATCAGCACCTATCAAATGTTTATACTATATGCTAAAAGAGAAAACAGAGTTCAGCTCTCATTTTAGAATGTTACTTATGAAGTTTCTCAACTACCAAAGAAAAATATGTGCG